AAATGAAAGTTTCTTTTTTTTAATTTAGTAATTATACAGAAAGGGTTACTGACCTTGCTTCCGGTAATTTAGCTGTCTCTATAACACACATAGCTTACGGAGGAAGAACTCTTTTCCACTTTCCCATTTATTCAACAGCTATCTTGAAACATGTTGACAGACAAAACAGAAAACTACCCTGGGAGGTGTTGCTGTCCTGCCCTGTGAGTGAGAAATGGAAATCTCTTTAAGTATTTTACATACTGGAAGAAGTACTGGTTCCTTTCTTTTCTGTTTTGTGAGAACATAAAATGAAGGGTAAATTTTGCTATTATGACTTCTTCAACCAGTACACACTACACACATGCAATTATATAAACTAGTTAATGGCCACAGTTCGACCAAAACATTGTCATAAGTTTTCTCCTCTGTGTTGGTTATTTGAGTAGTATTCCGTTTTTTTCTTTGTGCATGTATGTGTTTTATTCACATTCATCTAATTCTTAATAATTCTTGCCTTTGTAGTGTTTCCTGCACTTTTCATGTGGAAACAGTTAGAATCCTTTCCCAGTAATCAGTTCATGTTGTGGAATGTCACTAAAGTGTGGGCAGCAAGGGGATAGTAATGTCTTCTTCTCTATCTATTACGTACTAAATGACAAAGAGGGAAATTTGAAAGGGCTAAAATATGTTCAGAAAAATGCAGAGCATAGATATTGGTTAGAAATTTATATACATTCATTACTATTTTTCAGATTTGGCTTAAGAAGATTTTTGGAAGTCTTCAATACCGCATAGTTTTGATAAATGTGAGAGATTTTGTGCGGTGTAATATTACAGCATATACACCAGTGGAAGTTGTGCTTGATAACACTTCTGTGCCCTTCCTTGCTATCCTGACCCAGAATGTGCGTATTGGTCATGTTGCCCTACACCACAAGAGTAAGTCATGCCTTGAATTCTAATTTAAATGCTTTCTTCAATACGTAATTACACTAGCCTATACACTTTAACTCTATCTCATTCAGACACTAAATTGTTGTATGGAGATAACTTTGATGTACCCAGGATATTCTCTTCTGGAACAACTATTTTAATTAACTGGATGACTGAAGAAAGTCATTAATGCCACATGTTGATGTCTTCTCCATGGGATGTGGAACGAATTTTTCCTCCATAAGTCATGTGTGTCGTAAGAGCCGACTAAAATGCCGGAAACAAAGGGCTAGTTACCCCTTCTCCTGTGTAAATTAGTAAATTTAAAAGAAAAATTTAAGTTTTTCTTTTTAAACCTTTCATTTTTTTTTAAAGTCACCCTGCCACGATGGATACGGCTGGTTCGTTGAAAAAAAAATTTTGATGTCTGTCTCTCAAGTAAGATGTCATATATGGAGAGCATTTTCCTGTTAATCCATGATGCTCTATTTGAGTTCAGAAGTTGGTATTGAAGACTTTTTTTTAAGTCAAAAAAGACGTCTAAATGGATATTTAATATTTTCAAAAGAGGAACAAATTAAGCCCATCATTTATATTATTGCATCATCATTTACTCCATCCCAGCCTGAAGACAAACTAACATGAGTTAAGGATTGTGTTTGTTTATGAAACTGCATATTTGTTTATTTATATTTTTGCAAGGATTTTAGACAATAAAGGCAATTTAAAGAATTTGGTCCCAAAATTTAAATTGACTGCTGTTGGGTCACCACTTTTGTAGACTGGCTTAATTCTTGCTTCTTAACCCTTAAACTGTCCAAGCAGATCTACGTTCACATGCGTATGCTCCAAAAGTAGACTACTTTTTTTTTACATATTTTAAAATCTTTCTTTCTTCTTTCAACACCCGGCTGTATCCCACTAAGGCGGGGGGGCCCAAAAAGAAAAACAAAAGTTTTCTCCATTCAAATTTAGTAATATATACAGGAGAAGGGGTTACTAGCCCCTTGCTCCCGGCATTTTAGTCGCCTCTTACAACACGCATGGCTTACGGAGGAAGAATTCGTTCCACTTCCCAGGGAGGTAAGAGGAAATGAACAAGAACAAGAACAAAGAAAGAAATATAAGAAAACCCAGAGGGGTGTGTGAAATATATATGCTTGTAACATGTGTGTGTAAGTGTGACCTAAGTCAAGTAGAAGTACAAGACATACCTGAAATCTTGCATGTTTATTGAGACGACAAAAGACACAGCAATCCTACCATCATGTAAAACAATTACAGGTTTTCGTTGTACACTCACTTGGCAGGGCGGTAGTACCTCCCTGGGCGGTTTGCTGTCTACCAACCTACTACCTAGGATATTTTTTAAATAAAAAAATAAAAAAAAGTAGATAAAAGTTTTTTTACATGTTTTCAAATGTAAAAAAAAAAACATCTACTTTTTCTACATACTTTCTAATGTTGAAAAATGTATAAATACATTTGGACCGTTTACGGGTTAAAGTATGTGAAGGAAAGTTTGGCTTCACTTGATTTATTGAACAATGTAATAACAAATGAGAAGCTTTCTTGTATGTATATTTTTTTTTATTGACACATCGGCTGTTTCCCACTAAGGCAGGGTGGCCCGAAAAAAAAAACTTTCATCATCATTCAGTACATCAGTGTCTTGCCAGAGGCGTGCTTACACTACAGTTATAAAACTGCCTGCACTCCTTCAGAGTGCAGGCACTGTACTTGAGTCCGGCCTGCTGGTTTCTCTGAATTCCTTCATAAATGTTACTTTGCTCACATTCCAACAGCACTGTTACGTTGGTTTGTCCCTTATTACTTTGATTGTAAGGTTCTCACTACATGTTCTAGTGTGGGGTAGCTTTTACTTAATGGCCTTATTTGTCTAGGGGTAATACTTACATCATGGCTGATCATCTTGAGTGTCTCTGATACCTTTTCACCAGCCCTCTTCACAGGTTATGTAAACTACTACTATAAAAATATAACTGTATTCTCAATAGATATGTACAGAATATACAATCACAGCCTCCATTTTCAAAACAATCTACACACTCCATCCTGTGCTCCACATGTGTGTTCCAAACACTCTTCCCTTCTCTCCCCTGACATAACCTCTGGGGCTAAAATCCCAGTGTTTTGACACACTTTAGTCACCCCTGGGTATGGTGGCCAAAACTTAAAATATAAAAACTCACCCCTGGAGCACACATGATGCCCCAAAAGATAGGATGAAGGACCCAGAGATTCCGGCCAGGTTGAAGGTCAGCCACAGAGAGAGAAGTCAGAGAGAGGGGAGAGAGAGAGAAGCCTACCTAAGCTCCTCCCACCAAAACAAAAGACTTGTTTGCCATGCACACTTCCTCCTTTAACCACAATTCTACCACCCACACCTTAATTTTACCTTACAAAAAGAATACAACTTTATAAACTACTTAGTTAAATTGTGTGTTTATGTGGTCCTATAGTAAATAACCTATTATATTGAGAAAAATAGGTTTGACCCAGCTCCTCTCTCATTCATAATTTGATCAGCCCTTCTGACATTTAGAGCAGAAGTCCCCATCATTCAATATAATTAGGTATTCCAGAGTACTGTTACTTATAAAATACATGTTGGGTCTTATAGCCCCATAACACCCCCAACCTCCAGACGAAGTCTCACATAAGCTAGCCGTGTCCCTCAGGATACGGCTAGTAAAAAGTATATATTGCTTAAGTCTGAAGGGCGGTAAACAAGACTATTATGAAAATGCTACATATTTCCTAAGCACCATAACTACTCTTTCACTTTACGTATTTACAACATATTGCGATTTTTAATAAAAAGCATTTTAAACCATATACCCAGATACTCAAGGGTGTAACAATTTACAATTTTAGTGACTTTTAAAACAATACACATTACAATGCAAATTTGCACACAATGCCCACTGTGAAAGCCCCACCAACCGGCCCTGTGGCCTCTGCTAGGTAAAATCCAGGCAACAATGGTACTCCAAGGGTGTCATCATCCTGATCTGGAGCGAGAGTAAGCCAAACCCAGAGCAGTCAGGTGTACACCAGGCAGAACTCACAAAACCATGTCAAGGTTGTCTCTCACTTGTGGTCCCGAACCAAACATGAGACTTTTCCAGTCAACACTCACTATCCTTAACATGGTCAGCACTTAAGCCCATCTCCGAGGTCCCCACTCCACAACAGATCCGCCAACCTTTATAAGAGGACTGACATAGAAATGGAGGGGTCACATGGGACCACAAAGGACAAACCGTCGGGCCGTTTTGTAATAGAGCACACCAAGACACAACATCACGTACCTTCCGAACGTCTCATGTATTACTGAAGGTTTTCAACCACATGCCTCAACTCACATTTTACGTACACCTGACCCTCGTCAACACTTTTGCCTCTGACTCGACCCCTTCATCAGTCAGATGGCTGGTAGAGAGTACTCAGGCTCGCTGAGAGTTCACCACTGCAAAACAAGGTCAGCACAAGACAAACACTAGTACAAAAGTACGCACCATGCAAACTACATGAAACATCTTTAAAGAGCACAGCAACCAGACAACAATCTCTGAGCCATTTATATATTGACTTCCAAATTAAAAGGCTGTAGTAACAAAGCCCCATTTTAAGAGTCTGATTTTTAGTCCACTATACACAGTAAAGGATGAAGGATCCCTGAGACCAAGTACACATGCTGAATAGCCAGCCCCAAAATGAAAATTTTCTTCCTGTGGTAAAATGTTGACATTTTAAACTTAAAGGTTGTTCCATAACATAACAGTTCCTGCAACCTCCTCTCGCAGTGCAAACAACCAAACACCAAAGACATCTCTTGCACCCCAGGTTGGATACAACATCAAGTTTACACAAACACCATCAACGTCCCATCTCACACACAAATGTTAAACACACAATGAACACAATTTGCATTACACACATTAAAATGGTGCAAGATCACAGACCATGGAAATCACATCTTCCATGTTTGTTGAGCTATATTAAACTGTTTGCATCTTTTAGTGCATAAGTATCAATCTTTTCAAATTCTGTAAACCTTAGTTGTTAAACGTACTCTTGGTAGTCAGTGTTTAGCCCAGGGTGCCATCTAATTTGGGAACCTTGAAAGCATGGGAATAGCCCACTGACTCTCATTAAGCACTACAAACTGGTGTTGGAAGATATTTCACTCCTTCCTCCATCTCCAATTTTCATACAGATTTTTCCCACACAAAAAATGTTGAATTGGCTCAGTTTACTTATCAATTTTCCTCATGTGAGTTTCAACTTTTCCCCTTACTGACATCTCAAACTTTTATAAAGTTCCAAGGTGGCTGAGCCAACTCTCCACATTTTTCTCAATTAAAAACCAAGCATTGCATGTCACCCAAATCTTTTACACACATTTATTTCTTAAATACGCTTTGGTATTAAATACAGATTATTGTTTTGCAGCCCTTTACATTCCATTAAAACATTGGTCCCTCTCCCTGAATTTTGACATAACTTCCAACCCTTTAAAAATAAAAAAAAAAACCGTTTACTGTGTACACAATACTCATTCTTTTCCTAGCTTGGGGGTGTGGGTTTTATATCTAACCCCTTGGGAACTTCCCCCACAACATTACAGCTCACAGCAAAATTGCCATTCAGATTTTTACATGAATTGGCTCCAGTATCAGCACTTCCTCTCCAGCCTTCCAGAGTATCAATGGTCCACATTATGGTCCCACTTCATCATCCTGCTGGTTGATGGGCCACTTTCACTGTACCAATCCACCTCATACGAGTCAAACAGTGTCTGAAACCTGAGAAAGAGCTCCTCCAGGGGGGAGCATAACCATCCTCCCCCAACCAATAGCTCAAGATTTTCCAGAGTGCTTCCCCATCAGCAAAACAAAGAAAGGGATCCTCATCATCCCATTGTTAGTATTGTCTATAACCATAAGGCTTGCATCATTGTCTTGAGAGTTTGAGTAATT